CTTCTCAATAATTTTATCAAGATGTTGCAATGAGTTTCTCAAATCATGATAGCATTGCATTGCCACTTTGTGTGATGAGTTAGGATCTTTTCCAATGTGATTTAAAAAAACACAATTTTTTCCATCATTTATCTTCTTCCATGATCTAAATCCACTAGTTGTGAAGGCCATTGATCCAAAACGGTCCGTTGGCTTGGAAAAAAATGAGCAAGGAAGACAAAAGGTAGCATTCTTTGTTGGAGAAAATTCCAACCAATCTGGAAACAATTTATACCAAGAGAAAAGAAAACGTCGGCCCTTCTTGTCAATAACCATTGATTCACTTGGAAGCTCATGTTGGTATGGCCCAAACTTAATATATGCTCTCCGTACCTCATCCCTTTGATGCTCTAGATATTTCCAAATGGATTTTCGCATTCCAGGATCACGTTCTATGGATGAAATATCAAACTCTAATGATTCAGCTCTACAAAATTTCTTTGTTTGATGCTTAGGAGAAGAATCACGAAGAGGACAAGGAGTTTCACCACTTCCACTTGGTTCTAGACGTCTTTTTTTGAAAAAAGAATCAATTGTCCTGTTGGCCATTACTGCTATATTTGCAACAAAACAACAACCTGTAATCGAAATAAAATTGATTGAGAAATGCTGGTTATGGCCTATAGAGATGGGAATTTGACCAATGCAAAAGACTGGTTTCCCTAATTCCGTTACAAATTTGGCCATTCAGCCTGTCTGAAAAGCCCGGCCATCACCCAAGAAAGCCAACAGGATCCTCAAAATAAATTAGTATGAAAATTGGAAAAGGAAACCAGTCTCAGAATCAACTAAAATAAATGCTTATCACTCGAATTCAGAAGTCCAAGTACGAAAAACAATACAAGTCCCTCTCGAGCAATTCATCAAACAACTGGCGGGCGAACTTTTTACACCCACATTTCACTAAATAAATGGAATGTCAAACTAACCTGGTAAATGGTAATAGCTTGAAATTCCTGCGACATTGTATCCCCAGAAACGGCTTCACCAGCGGGAGAGAATTAAAGGAGTCTGTCTGTAGGTTCTTCTTCTGTGTAATCTTTTCTTTGCGCAGTAGCGAGGAAGTAGTATAATATACTGCTAGTAGATAGCAGTGAAAGATACCAAGTGTACAGCAACAAACTAGACAGAGTTGCTCCGTGTTTTTTAAGCACTTCAAAACTTGACGAGGAATTTGATGACTTGCAGATTCAAATTGCCACGTTATTATTAGTAGAGCAATGAGGCCTTCATAAAATGTATGTACATCTCTACTACAACAGAAAAATCCGAGGAGGTGGGCACTGGCCAGTGGGTGTTTCCTTTGCCTTTGGGTTTTGATTTCTTGTTTGTAGCCAGTTGTTCGATGTGACTCCTGACCATTTTTCACTCGAAAGCCTCCCTTTTAGCTTAGCTTAGCTTCTAACTATGGACAGACACGAAGCAAACAAGTAATCCCACCAAACATTATTGTTTGGGCCCTTGGGGGGGCAAAGTGAATTTTTTGATCAATTTTGGGGGGGGTGAAACATAATAACAAAAAAAATTTTACTCAGAAATTTTTTTTAAACAATTGGAGGGGGGGGGCGGTTGCCCCCCCTGGCCACCCCCTTCCCTCCGCCCCTGGAGTGAATGATGCAGATATCAAGGTTATAATGAGCTTGAGGGTCAAAGAACCAACTCGCTTCAAGTTCATGTTCAAATTCAAACTCAAGTACTTGATGGATAAGCCATTCAATTTAAAGGAAGTTCGTGCTAAATAGATTAAAGAGCTTGGAAGACGTTGGCATAACTCGAGTAAGAAGATTAAGTTTCTAAACTTAACCGGTGGCATTTGAATCTAACCGTTCGTGGTTTCTTCCTATCATTTAGTTATTGTTTGGTTTTCTACTTAGTTATTTAGATAGTTGTTTTAGTTAATAAAAGGCCAATCTTGTGTTAAGCCTTTGAGTTTAATGGGCAAATGATTGAGTCAGTTGTTTGTTTGGTTTGTTAGGTTCGACCTATGAGGCTTAATCTAGGTTGCTATCTCTTTTAAGTAACGGTGTAAAGAATGATAGTTCTACGATTGAGAGGCATTGAGTCTCCCCTATGTTTGAGTGGATTCTCTTGCTTGATTCCAAATCTCGTTTCACTTTGTGCGTATTCTTGAATAGATTGAGTGCCGGATCAATTTGGTAGTCACCCAAATTGTGGCCAGCCTACCGAAATTCCATCCAAATTTCATCCAAACATATCCCCTTTCGAATTGGGGTTTCCTGTGGGATTGCAAATTTGTTTCATCCTAGGGGAATTTGTATCACCATTAGTTAAAAGACTCAAGTTTTACAATATTAGTATTATTTCAGCCACCATAAATTCTTATTTGAGTCAACCACCATAAATTCTTATTTGAGTCAATTCTATCATAAATTCTAAATTGAGTCAATTATTTATGAATAGCAGTAGCCCGTCAAAAACCTGAAAAAGTGAATCAAAAAGCCAGATTAATTTTACGACCAAATTCCCCATATCCAAGGGAAAAAACCAAAAAAAAAGTGAAACAAAAGAAATTGTAATGCCTTTAGGTCCTGGAAATTCACATAAACTTATGAGTAAATTTTATATACACTATCATGGTTAGATAGATGACACGTGAGCAAATTTTAGATGTCAAATTCAAATTTTATTCATATGTCATATATTTAATGGTAATAGTGTATACACTTACAGTATATATAAATTTAATCCTAAACTAATTACCTATGGCATTCGGCGCCCCAAAATTTACAAAAGATTGATAGAAAGAAGAGGATGTTGCAACTACTGAAAGTGGAGAGAGTTGAGAATAAATGAGATAAAGAAAAAAAAAACACTTGTTTAGGTGGTGAGGACTATTGACAAAGGGGAAAAAAAACAGAAAGGGCAATTTGCACTGCACAAATCATGAAAACCCAATATTACAACTGCCACTTGGCATCAAACACAACCCATGCAATTACCAGCACAGTTCAAATACCAAAAAAACCCTACCATCACATATCCAAATGACCAACATGCTAAACAATTTCACAAAATTCACGACTAGACCAAGATAATGACAACAACCAATCAGAACAAGAATATGGGAATGAAATCGATCAATTCAATTGGAACCGCAGTTGCAAACTCACACTTTATAGTAGGTAAGATAAGATATAGGTAAGATAAGATAAGATAAGATATAGTGCGATGATTACTTGTTCTAGAACAAACATAAGATAAGATTGTTCTAGAACAAACATAAGATAAGATAGTAGGTAAGATAAGATAAGATAAGATATAGTGCAATGATTACTTATTCTAGAACAAGCATACTTTGATAAGATATATGCCTCTCAAACGAAGAGTGATGAGCATACTTTGATTGCTCAGATTTTCCGAGTAGGCCCTCCTGTTAAAGCAAGGTTTAAACCGGTTTATTGTTCTTTGCTGGCCGTAGGAAGGCTTATACATTGAAGAAAAATAACCGCACGAAACTACTAGGGTGCTTTATTATTATAATTAAGAGCTCGTTTGAATTATTATTTTTAGAAGTTTTTGTTAAAAAAAAAATATTGTAGTGATTTGATATATGTGAAATTAAAAGATGAATAAAAAATATATTTATAAAAGAACGCAAAAAATTATTTTAGTAAAAAGCTGCAATCCAAAAATATTTACGAAGAAAACTGCAAACCTAATGCAACCTGCCTGACCAAAATTTCTTTGGTCTCCTTTGGTGGTAATAACCAAAATTTCTGTCTTCCTACTTCTTCACCAGAATCTGGCGAAAAAATTGAGTACTCCCCGACAAGAAAAAAAAGGACGAAAGAAAATAAAGGTAAGACGAGATGGATGAATTATGAAAGACTTGAAATATAGATAGATGAAGAGAAGCAAGTGGCAGAGTTGAAGGCTGACGGCAACCTGCCTCAAGGATAAAGACTGTAATTTCACAGAAAAGGGGGGACACGCAACCGACACTGCTTCAGTGGCTGCAAAGAACATGTGCTCGAAATGGTTGGAGATAAAAGCAATAAAAAGAAAGAAAGGAAAATACAGAAGGACCGCACCTAGCATACCAAAAAAACCTTTAAAAAAAAGAAAACTTCAAAAAAAATTTTCTGTGGTTGTCTATCAAGACAAGCGCCTTTTCTTTTGACCGTTTGCACCGGTTATTACCTCTGCTTTCAACAGCTATTTGTCTAGATGTGATTTCAATCCTTTCTATACTATAAATACCTTGATGTCAGCAACACACGTGTTCTTCTCAAGTTTATTTTCCATTTGTGTGGAGTTAGACTCAATTCTCCATGGAAGTCAGGTCCTTTGGTTCGAACCTTTCCCACAAAATGATGGATTTGTTGGAAATGGGGCAGGAACATGAAAGTTCACGGCCACGATATGGCCTCAAAAAATTGTGCGGCTCAGATTATATCATGTAACTCGATTTTCATGTTATGTGTGGGGTCTACAAAAAAATGTTGTAGAATTACATTATGTCTCAGATTATATCATGTAACTCGATTTTCACGTTATGTGTGGGGTCCACAAAAAAATGTTGTAGAATTACATTATGTGCAAAGTAAATTATATCGTGTGCAATAAAAATTATGTACAGTGAAAAATGAATATAACCGGCACAAACGATTGCACCTTTGTGCCCCTTGTCCGGATTTGTTGCCGACAGCTTTGCATGAGTTTAAAATCACATTGCCATGTTATTAAGTGGGTTCCGCCACCACATCACATCAGATGTGAAAGATATATAATGTGCTTTATCTTTTGCGCATAAAGGCATTCGCCAGAGGAGCAGTCCTCTCATTAGCATATGTATAAAAGGGTGAATGCCATGCCTCAAGAGTGTGTACTGTTGGTGATGTGGCCAAACATGATTGGTTGGAGAGTGTTCGTCCAACTTTATGTTCTCTTCTCCAATTATAAGTTGTTTTTTTCCTTCCTTGTGTTGTATTCTGGTTCCGTTCCCATTTTGGTTTCTTATTATTATAATATAATATAATATGAGAAAGGACTATATACGACTAGAACTGACACTGGAAGTTTAGTATAAGATTGGTGATATGAAGAAGAGAGTTCTGAGAGTAGTGGTTATGACAGATGGTAGCAGGTGTGATATGTCTTCTTGATCTTGATCTTGAATGACAGCGGTTAGGTGGTCATGGAAACTGAAATGACAATTTTACCCTGAGTATTATGCTAATATTGCAGATTCTGCATTAGAGGCCCTCTTGCTTTGAATGGCCTGTTTGTGTAAAATTGCCTTTCTAAACGGTGTCAAATGCTGACAAAGAATGACTTTCTCCTCTTTCTTCTCTTTTTCCTTTTCGCTGTTGCTGAGCCTGCTGAAAAAATTCCCGTACAACCTTCGTCCTCTCAGCGTCAGTTGTCCGTTGGCTTTTGGTAGTCCTGCATTATGTTAGTGTTGTTTGTTTTACTTTTGCTTGTTGTTCTCTTCCTCTTCCGTAAACGATTGGCTAGACTTCTTCCTGTTTGGAAGCTTGCTTGCATCTCTGCAACTTTCGGCTAACACCTGGTAGGCATGGTTTACTGCATGCTATGAATTTTTCGTTGTTCTCTTCCGTTTGCTTTGTTCTAAATAAATTCATGGTTTATCTCTTTTTTTGCCTTGCTCCTTCTTTTTTACTAGGAACCTATTCCTTTTTGGAATCTTTTTCTTTTCCTTGCTTACAAGATCCTCTGCTGTACATGACTTTTGAAATATCTTGTTCTTCTGTAGCTTTTTCCATCTTCAGATTCTCCTGTCAGCTCCTCCTTTTTTGAGTACAGGTTAGTATCTCTATCCTTGTTTTATTCTTTGACTGCATTTTTCGAAATTATTTGCTCCTCTCCACTGTACTCTGCCTTATGTCACATTTGCTTTTCGTTTGTTTCTCCTTTTTTTTTTTTGACGGCAAGAAATTCTGTCCGCCTTGTTGTTGCTGTTTTATATTCGCTGAGGTGTTCCTGCTTCTGTGTTTGGCTCAGGTAGTGTTGCTTCCCTTCTCGTTTTTCTCCCTTGACTTTTCCTTAGCATGTACCTGCGCTGTTAGCTTGTTTACTTTTAGTATGCGCTGGTGTGTTTTGTTATATTAATTAATTAATCATGCATGCTTTTTCCCTTTTCCCCCTGTTGCAAGTTTCCCGCTTTGTGGCTTCCTTGGTTATCCATGCAGCGTTTATTATCTCATTACTACTGCTTGCCTTTGGTTGTCCATTCTTTCTCTTAGCTTTTGCATTAATCAGGTGTGTGTTATTGCGTTAAACGACTCTTATTGGCTTGTTCCTTGCTGTTAAATTTCATCTTCGCATGCTTACTTAATACCTTCGGGTTGCTGCTACCCTTTTTAGCTGGAATTAGATGGATAAAAATGCCTTGCGCCGAAAAAAATACGCAGAAATGCCGCCTGCCAAGAAAGCAGAATTTCTGCGCTCTCTACGAGAAGCTAGAGCTGCGAAGAAAAAACAGAGCCTTTTCCTGTCTCGTGTTCAAAAGATTCTGCCTACTGCTGTGGAACCTTCTGTTTGTTTCTCATATAGTCATGATAAACCTTCTGACACTCATGCTCAAGCTGATGTGCTTTCTAATGCACTACAAAATGGAGAATGCTTGGTTCCAGTCGATAGTGTTATTACAGATAATCGACAGCTGCCCTGCATTTCTTCTGCTGTACCTAATTTCTTCGATGATCATGCTTCGTCATCTTCTTCTTCTAGGAAAAAAACAACTTCCAGTGATGCTATATCCCTTAATAAAGGTATTGCTTTTTTATTAATTAGTTTATTGTTGTACTTGGCTTGGCCTTTCCTCTTTCATATCATTCCTGCTTCTCTGCCTTCCTATTTATTGCTAAGTACTCTGTATTCCTGTAAATTAGCTCTCTTTTGTTTGCACGCTCCTATACTTCTTTTCAATAAATGCCTTCTCCCTAGCCCTTCTCAAAACACTTAGAACCTTCCAAACCTTTCCTGTTCAGAATCAGACTCTGACCAATTATAACCTTACTTAATTAGCATCTGCGCATTTTCCTACCTGTACTCTCCACAATAGAAAATTCCAGTTTCAAAATATTAACCTGTTGGTGAAAATAAAATCGTGCATTACCAAATGCTTCCAGATATTTGGCTTTCCTTTCGTGCAATCCCTTTCTTAAACGCTCCCTATTCAGTTCTTTTAAAGCTATAACTTTCAGGCTAATTGCTTGCTCTTTCACCTCCTCAACATTTTTTACTGCGTATTAACTCTTCGCATACACAACCCTGCTCAGCTGTGGTGCTCATCTTGTTCGCTCTTATTATCCACAGAACCCTCTTCTTTCCCAAGGAGAGAGTTTAATCAACTTGCAGCAAATTGTTCTCGCCAGGCAAGGAGAAAAAAAAGGAACGATTCCCTTGATCCATTGCCTAGCCTTTCTGAGTATAGCAAGAAGCGTGGTAGTGTTTCCGCCGTGAGAACAGAAAATGCAGGTTCAGTATTGTTTCTCGTTTAGCTGCCGCCATCTTTAGGCTCCGTTCTTGCCTCGTTATACAGAGCTTTAACTCAACCTGTTTGTCAACCACATACAAAAAATTATAGGAAGAAAGCGCAGGCGCGGTCAGCCAAATCTCTCAATCGTGAACGAGATTCCTAATGTATCTTTGGTTCTGCCTGATGCTCCTTCGTGTGACCATTGCGGAGCCAAGAGATTCCATTTGGAACCTCCTACTTTTTGTTGCTCTGGAGGAGAAATTTCTCTTGTTACTCCTCCTATGCCTTATGATTTGAAGCACTTATTTATTGGTAATGATGAGGAAAGCTTTCATTTTAGAAATAATGCTCGCACTTACAACAATAACTTAGGCTTCACATCATTTGCTGCTAAATATGATCCTGAACTAACAAAAAACACGAGGTTTATCATTTTCTTAATGGCCTTCTTCAGTCGGATGATAGAGCATCTGGGATTCAGCTCTACTTTTTTGACACTGATGAAGAATTAGCAAAGAGGATTGCTGCATCTGATAAGTTGCGAGAAAGCACTTTAAGACTCCTTATGCGCATTCTTAGCGACAATCCTTATGCTAAATTCTTCAAAAATTTAAGGCATGTTCCAAACATTAACAACCTTAGCATTGTGCTTAATTGTTATCCCACCCTTGATCAACGGGTTTATAATCTGCCTTCTGCCTCCCAAGTTGCAGCGATATGGACTGAAAATCAAGATGAAACCGGTCATACGGGAGCTCATATTCAGGTTTATGCGCATTCAAATAGCAACTACAAAATTAAACATTACTATGGCTGCTATGATCCATTACAATACCCTCTTCTTTTTCCACGTGGCGAATGCGGATGGCACCCTGGGATTAAAAGAGCCCAAAAAAGAAAGAGAAAAGATGATTATTGTGAGGAAGACATCGATATTCATCCATCTTCAGTTAATTCTGCATCAGCCTTAATGGAACGGGAACAAAGAGGCAAGTTATTTCTTGCTACTTCTAAACAATTGAATTTAACCACTATTTTTTACATTATAAAAAATCATCAAAGTAAATGGTTGCTCGTGCTTTTTCTCTAGCTGCTGATTGTGCAAAAAATGAGGAAAACACGGTGTCAGCTAGAGAATACTATTGTTACAGATTTCAGATGAGGGACAGTGATGATTCAATGTTGTTGCACTCGCTTAGATTATTGCAGCAGTATGCAGTAGATGGTTATGTTAAGATTGAGACGTCTAGGCTTGATTTTCATAGAAATCGCCAAAACAACATTCGTTCTGAGGTCCTCCAAGGAGTCCTGGACAGTATTTGTATAGGCCAGACCAGTGCTTCTAAAGTTGGCCGTCGAACGATATTACCAGCTTCTTTTATAGGTGGACCAAGGGACATGAGACGGCGATATCTTGATGCAATGTCTCTTGTGCAAAAATATGGAAAACCAGACATCTTTCTTACTATGACCTGCAACCCAGCATGGAAGGAAATTCAGGATAATTTAAAGTACCACGAAAAGCCTCAGGATAGACCGGATCTTCTGGCTAGAGTCTTTAGGGCCAAATTTGAATTGCTTAAATCAGAAATTTTGAACAAGCAAATTTTTGGTGAAGTTGCAGCGTATGTCTATGTGATAGAGTTCCAAAAATGTGGCTTCCCCCATGCTCATCTACTATTAATTTTGAAGCCTGAATACAAACTCCTAAATCCGGAGTCATATGATAGAATAGTTTGTGCTGAAATACCTGATCGTTCTAAGCATCCTCATCTATATTCCCTTGTTGTAAAGCACATGATTCATGGTCCTTGTGGCGATCTGGATAGAACTTGTCCTTGTATGAAAGATGGTCATTGTAGATATCACTATCCTAAGACCTTTTGTGCCCAAACGAGTCATGCTGAAGATAGTTATCCGCAATATAGAAGAAGAGATGATGGTACAAAAATAAAGGTCCGAAGGCATACTCTTGATAACAGATGGGTTGTCTCTTATAGTCCCTATCTGTTAGCTACATTTGACTGTCACATTAATGTAGAAATTTGCTCGACTGTTAAATTGGTGAAGTACATGTATAAGTATGTTTTCAAAGGACATGATTCAGTCAGTTTTAGGATAGTTTCGTACCGTACTCCTGATGACACTGATGAGATAAGAGAATTTCAGCAAGGTAGATGGATTTCGCCCCCTGAGGCGTTTTGGCGTATCTTTGAATTTCGCTTGAGCGAAATCAGTCTAGCAGTCTATACTCTTCAGATCCACCTCCCGGACCAGCAGTTTGTTTCATTTGACAAAAATTCAGACCTGCTGCAATTATTGAGCAAAGTTGATTTTTCAAAAACCATGTTAACTGAATTTTTTTATATGAACAAAATGCATGTGGTTGCACAGAATCTTAAATGTCTTTACAGGGAATTCCCTCAATACTTTGTTTGGTCTCCTAAATATAAGAAATGGACTGAAAGAAAGCGTCGAAAAGTGATAGGTAGAATGGTCACTGTTAGTCCAGCGGATGGAGAAAGATACTACCTTAGACTACTTCTGAATCATGTTCATGGCCCGACTTCCTTTGATCATATTTTGACGGTTGCTAATCAAAAGCTGAATTCCTTTAGAGAAGCTGCTTTAGCATTAGGACTCTTGCAATCCGATACTTACATAGAGGATACGCTTCAAGAAGCTGTGACCTTTCAGATGCCGTCTTCCTTAAGATTACTATTTGCTACTCTGCTTGTCCATTGTTCTCCTGTAAATCCTCAGCTACTGTGGGAAAAATTCCAACATGAACTGTCTGTAGATTACCAACGACAATGCTCATTTTCTGTCCTTACTGGTTCACAGATCAGGACAAGGGTTCTACAGGACATTAATAGGTCATTGGAGCAAATGGGAAAGCGAATTACTGATTACCAATTAGTTTCACTTGGTTTTGATTCTTGATTGAAAATGAAAGAGGTTTAGATGTTACTCCAGACGATTTGCTAATGTCTGTCAAGTTAAACTGTGAACAGAAACATGCTTATGACATGATTCTTGCAGCATGTTTTTCTGGTGAGGGCCAGGCTTTTTTTATTGATGGCCCAGGAGGCACTGGTAAAACATTCTTATACCGATCACTACTTGCTACATTAAGATCACAGGGTTACATTGCCATTGCTGTTGCCACTTCTGGCATTGCAGCATCGATTCTTCCTGGAGGGAGAACGGCGCACTCAAGATTTAAGATACCATTGGACTTTTCGAAGAATAAGACCTGTCAACTCAGCAAACAAAGCAGTGTTGCCAAATTGCTTTTTGAGTGTAAGCTTATCCTTTGGGATGAAGCGCCAATGGCTAAGCGAGAGACGATTGAAGCATTTGACGACTTGCTTAGAGACATAATGGATTCTGATTTGTCTTTTGGAGGGAAGGTTGTCGTTTTTGGTGGAGATTTTCACCAAACCTTGCCAGTTATTGAGCGAGCAACAAAACAGGTCCTCATAGAATCAAGCTTTCCTAATTCTATTCTCTGGTCTAAATTACATAAGCTGAGACTCACACAGAATATGAGAGCCATGTTAGATCCTGCTTTCTCTCAGTTCTTACTAAGAATAGGCGAGGGAAAAGAGCTTCTAGATGAAAATGGCGAAATCACTTTACCGCCTGATATAGTTATTCCTTATTATGATAAGGAACAATCTTTAAACAGGTTAGCAGCTTGCATACGGTTATACTTTATCTATTTGATCCCTTTTTTTATCTCTACCTTTCATTGATTATGGCTATTTATAATTTTAAACAGGTTGCTTCAAAGTGTTTTTCCAGATTTGCACCTGTATTCTAAAGATCCTTATACCATGATAAATAGATGCATCCTTGCTCCAAAAAATAGCTCAGTTGATGAGCTCAACGAGCTATTAATAAATAGATTTCCTGGAAATCTTCAAGTTTATATAAGTTCAGATCGGACTGTTGAGCAGCGACACCAAGGAGACTATGAAGATTTTCTGAATTCACAGAACCCAAAAGGAGTTCCTCCTCATAAGTTGCTGCTAAAAGAAAACTGTCCTATTATGCTATTAAGGAATTTAAATCCTAATGAAGGATTGTGTAATGGCACAAGATTAATATGTAGAGAGCTAAGTTTGAATATTATTTCTGCAGAGATTGTGTTTGGCAGTCATGCAGGAAAAAGAGTCTTCATCCCAAAGATACCTCTTCAAACATCTGACAATGAAAGGAATGGAATTCCGTTCATAAGAACTCAATTTCCTGTCCGACTTTGTTTTGCGTTAACCATTAATAAGTCGCAAGGACAAACTCTGGATTATGTCGGTCTTTACTTGCGTGAACCCGTTTTCTCGCACGGACAGCTGTATGTCGCGCTCTCTAGAGCTAGAACTGCTGTTGAGCTTAAGGTTCTTCTCGTTCCTGGAACATTTGATGAGAGAAAGACTGACTGCAAAACTAGGAATATTGTCTTTAATGAGATTTTTGATTTAACTCAGCAATAAAGAACCTGTCTACTTTAACTATACATTGGAATCAGGTGCATATAGAAATTTTTCTTTCTTTACTCCAATATACTGTTACACTTGTCTTATTTATTTGCATTCATTTATCTATGTTTTTATCTTGATGCAGAATGACTAATTTGCTGCCTATCCAAGACATTGTCCCTTTCATGAAGAATTGGAGTTGCCTCATCACTGTTCAGGAAAAGCAACAGATTACTGACTCGAAGGGAATGCCGACAAAAAAACAAAAATTTATCTTTTATGATGCAGAGGTTAACAGACCTTTGTACCCGCTTTTTTCTATGCACTTGTTTTACAAGATTTTTCTATTTTTTAGCTAATTGTAATGCTACCAATTGTGTGCCTCAGGGATCAAAAGTTGAAGCAATAATCTTCAATGCTGATATTCCTAAAATGAGTCCACTCTTACGTGTTTATAAAAAGTACAAGATCACAAATGCTGAAGTGAAGCCTATCCCAGCAAAATTCCAGACAGCTGAGCTCACTATCCAATGGGTGATCAGCACTAAAACTGTCATTGAAGAAATAAATGATGCTGATAATGAAATCATGCCTGTGAAATTCAACTATACAAAGTTTACTGATTTAGTGCATCACATGGATGACAAGAATAAATCAGTTGGTACGTCTCTCAGTGAATTAATATTGCTGTGCTTACAATATTATTACCTCCTTTTCCATTATGCTGGTTCTGTTTTTACAGATGTGATAGGAGTTGTGATTGCTGCACTGGACAAGAAGACATTAAACAGAAACTCAAGAGAATCAAGTGTTCAAAAGTTTGTTCTTCTTGACGAAGAGTGGGTATTTTATTTCTTATCTTAATCCTAAATCTGAATTAAGTTATTTACTGTCTATTACTTATATTAATAATGATTACAGATCACACACAGTATTGCTATCTTTAAGGGATGACTTTCTCGCTAATGAAGGACAACAATTACTGTCTAACCTTCACAGCTATCCTGTCATTATTGCACGGAGAATAAAAGTGAATAACTACAATGGTACTTTTTCCTTTAATATTTTTATATTTTTGTTCTGCACACTCTTATATATACCTTTCACAGAATCATGACGCATGGCATTAATGTTTATTCTTTCTATAGGAGTTGCATTAGGTACTTGGTTTGATTCTGTCATACTTGTTGATCCGCCTATACAGGAAGCAAGAGAGCTAAAGAACTGGTATGTTGCACTTCCAATGCCCTGTTTCTATCTCACAAAATAGCAACTACGGATAATCTTTCACTTCTTACATCTTTTCTGCATTTTTGCCTTGTGCAGGCGCTCAGAAATTCTCAAATAATTGCAGATGTTCTTGCTAAAAGAGATTACATGAAGTATAATCCTACAATTTCTCTCAGAACTGATCAAAAAGCTACCTTGATTTGTAACGTTAGCCCATCACAGAAGGTGTTAAAACAATTTTCCCCATTTCTCTTTACACTTTACTATCGCCCTGTTTACATTTGTTCCCTTGTATTTGTTTATATTGCAGACGACTTGGGTGAGAGCACGTTTCTACTTTGAACACATATTCCAAAAATACTGGTATATGAGTTGCAAGAATTGCTATCGAGCCACAGCAGCAGATTATCAGGTTGAATTTACCTGCAACTCGTGCAAGGAGAAGCAACCAGCTCTATCAAGGTGATCATTCATAAGTCCTTGTTCTGTGGATCATTCATAAGTCCTTGTTGTGTGATTCTTTTTGGATTTTGCATAACAATAATTTTGCCGATTACTAATTCCCTCTATATTGATTATATTTCCAGATGTCGCTTTGATGTTGATTTGGTTGATAGCAGTGGAACCATACCAGCTTCCATATTTGGTGAACTAGCAGAAAAACTTCTAACGTTCAGCTCTCTTGAAGCAATGCAGCATTTTAATGAGGTTTTATTTTGTCCCATAACACTTGTTGACAGGCCTGTTATAAAGCTGCTAATGTTTTTTTTTCTCCTTATTATCAGAATGTTGAACTCCCTCTTGACCTTGTTCATGAAGAGCTCAAAGCAAAGATTTTCCTCATTCATATCAAACCTGTGCAAGCACAGCTAGCAGATGCTAGGCAACGTTATACAGTGATATATTACTATGAAGCTCATGATGATGCCAGTTCAATTGAGGTAACAAAGGAACCAAAAAATCATTTACCGTTGCTTAATGACCAGCCTCCAACGCTGCAATTGATTGATCCAGGTAAATAGACACATACTTTGAACTTCTAATCCACAAACATGCTTTCCCTGAAATAAATTATATAAAATGAAAAATTTATTTGTTGCAGAAGAAAATACTTCTCCTCCAAAGATTCGCAAACGACTTTCTGAAAAGTTTGATGAAATAGAGAACTTGAACGACGACAACTCCCCTGATGAAGCCAGCAGCTCTGCCAAGAAATCAAAACTAAACTAATTCAGAGCTATTCACTTTTTGTCTTCATAAGATAGATACACCTTACAAGCCATTTGCACTGCTACATTTTGCTAAGTTTGTTACAAGAGTCGTTAGTTTTTGAATGAACACTCTTGTTTTGTCTGTACGTATTAATGAACCAGCTTCTTTTGACATATCTACTGTCCTCAACAGTCAACTTCATGTACTATTAACTCTATGTAAGACTAATTATTGTGCTGTTATTTTTTAATGCTTCCTTTTTTTGTTCAGATTACAACTTCTATTACTTATGACACCAACTTATTTACTCACCACTATTATCTACTAGGTTGCAGGAATCGAAATATTAAAGTAAACAAAAGCAATATGACATACTGCATTACACAAAGCCTTCTTCCAAAGCTTAAATGAATTACAGAGGAGAGGACAAGCAAGTTTTAAGCAAACTTCTCGTAAAAGTAAAGCTGCAGGTATTTAAAATATCTCAGACAGTGGCAGTTCAATTGTACCTACCTCTATAACAATAAAGAAAAACTATATCTCAAAACTAAATAAATTATAAAGTTAGGAAAAAAAATAAATTATAAAAACAATGTAGTACTGCCAAATTTTAGAACCAAATTACAACAAACTCATCATTATTAACCATCCAACCAAGCTGATACTGCTAAAAATTACTACTTTGCAAGCAAGTGCTCAACAAGTATCTTTATTTCTCTGGACAAATACTTAATAATGTTACTCATTGGGTATTTGACTTTAATCTCCTTATAATATATATGCAGCAAATGCATGCTAATTTACATGCAATTTTATTCAATGTCCTTCGTAATCTTCTTCTCAATAAAAAAAGTGCCTCAATGGTTAATGCTGTCCTGCTCCACTTCATGTGCTTATACTGATAAAAAAAATCATCGCAAACGTTAACAATGCTAATAAATAATTGCTTTTCTTATCATTAACTATATATATAGTCAGTCCTTTATTCAATACATGATTACAAAAAATTTAATAGCACACAGTTAAAAACAAAAAGCTGCAACTTTCTGCAAGCAACCATTTTTTCTGCTTACTAATTTTTTTTTTCATTTGACAGTTTAACAGCCTTTCTGATATATATATTAATAGCACCATGCCATATTTTTCTCCTGTTATCTTCTTCTTCTTCTATCCCTTTAATAGCACAAAATATGTTTCCTTCTCCATCAAGTTCTCAACAGCCAAACAGCAGCTTAAACCCTTGCTGTTTTCTTCTCAAATGTTGTTATAGAGGCCAGGTACACCTTTTGTTTCCTTATAAAACAAAAGACATTCAAACTATCCATATCTAATATTTTTATATTAATCTGCTTAATTTCATTTGATTCATCAAACAATTTCAAATTTTACCTGCTCAGTTTCGCCTGTTACTTGATCAGCATCAAAACAACACAATCATACTCAGATATGGAATGCAAAAATGGCCTCTCACAATTGCCAATGGCTGCTTTGAAGAAGGATGGAATAAATATTGCCATGACAATATCGTTAACACTCATGATCTGTTGATGGTTCGTTATGCTGGAAATCTTATTTTCGATGTTATTCATTTCTCTGAACTGCAGCAACAAGTTTACTTATCCTGGACAATTCCGCTACCAAATATTTTGGAGAATAACGCTGACTATACACAAGGCCTGTATATCTTTTAACTCATTTTCTATACTGATTCCTGTTTTCATTATTTCTAATACATTATTTATTTAATGACCTCAGATACCACATCCTTATCAGTTAATCATCACGCCGTGACTTCATCGTTAGAACCAGATTTCTGTCAAAACCTAACTGATTCGCATTGTTTTTATCAAACTTTTCATTCAGCAACGCCGAATTCAATGGTGAGTTACTATTATATCCATATTCATCCATTTTCTTTAACCTATTTTTCTATGTTCAGTTTTTCACTCTAATTTTCCTTAATAATTCATAGAAACTCCCAAGATTCGTTGATCCCTTCTTGAATAGCGAAAGAACTCCCACCGTACTTATCAAGACTGGCCATAACATTACAAGAATTGGTATCAAAGGGAAGCAATTGAAAGGAAATTGGAGAAACTTCATTCTTCAGCATCAATTACAGCATAACGATGTTCTTGTGTTCATTCCTGAATCACAGACTACATTTGCTGTTTTAGTATTTGACTATAATGGAGTTGAAAAGCTATTTCCATGGTATTACACTTTCAGCATTTGTTCAGATGCTTAAAGCTGTAATTAAGCTCTGTAACATTATGTGATCATGCCTCTGCAGCTTTTTTACTCTTTCCTTTAAATGTACTAGAAACTTTTCCCTTCCAATAATATTGTTCGCTTTTATCCCGTCTTATTACATAAATGCAGAGTTAATTATCCTGTTTGGTTACTCCAAATGCTTAAGTGATCCTTTTCTATTTTACTTTAAATACATAAAAATTATTCTAAGTAATATGATACCAAATTTAAAATTTATAAATACCGATATTCAAAGACTCCAAAACAATAGATATCCCAATCTTTTGAAAGAAATTGCTGCAGACAAAATCAACAGAGAATCTCTGAACATATTCCTTTTATGAACATTTTGTACTCTTCCCTACCTAACAATGAATGCACGTGAACCTTTCAGATTCTGATCACTTTATCAGCAATAATAGTCCTTACTACAGCTTCCAACTTTACATTTGGATAAAAATGACACCATGCATATCGATCTTATTAGATTCAATAGTTTTATGTTTTAAACTTATATTTATCCATCTGTGCTCAATTCATAACCATTTTACCTTTTTATGCATTCCACCAATACGTATCACAACAAAACAACAATATACACATCTTTCCTTCCTCTAATTCTACTTTTAGCAACAACATCTTCCTTCCCTTCATCTTCATTTCCCCTTATTACCATCTTAACTTCTTTCCTTACACTTAAACTTATAAGCTTCCTTGTTGCTCACCATCAGGTATGCATTTACTTACTAAGCACGTTTTTACATTACTTCATCCGATCTGCTTTTCAAATCTTTTCCCCATATAGTGCTATCCTTCCTCGAATAAATTCTCTCCTCTCTGCTCTCTGCTAACTCCAAAGTCCGGCTTCATTTCTTCCAGCTTTTCTCTTGCTGCTTTTATCAATACAGTTCCATTCATTTAAGCATATCCCATCTTCCGATCACGTTCTTCTTTTTAACGCACTCGATTTTAGCTCACAACAGGTTATTCCACTTACTTATAATTTTTTTATGACTGTTAAACTGATACCTATCAAAATGCATATCCTTGCACCTCATCTTCATGCGTTCCTTATCTTCCAATTATATCCTTTCTCCGACCCTTTTAGCTCATGTAGATTACACTTCACCCATTTAATTTTTTCCTTTTCTATTATAGACTATCTTACAATGGAACCTGCAATAATCCCTCTATCTGCTGTTCATCCGTATTCATCAAACTGGACGGTAGCTCTCCAAGTTATAGAAGTTGCTTGTATAAAAAATAATTTGCACCTCCAGCAAAACTTTCAAACCTTTCTGCTTGCCGATTCACAGGTAACGAATACTTAATTTCCTTTTGATCTCATGACTATTTACTTATGTCATGATACCTTTTAACAATTGTTAGTATCAGGGTGTAACAGTTAATATGCATGTTATCGGGAACATGATTCATCGACTTGCTGGATTATTGCTACCATTTAAAAAATACTATATTTCTAGAGCTATTGTTCACCACCTACATGATGGTTCTGCTCCTACCGAATATCCATTTTACTGGATTGCTACTGAAGCTACATCAATTCGTGAAATTGACCAACTCGATTATCCCTCTCTTCCTTCACATTTTCAATTATATCCATTTACTCTGCTAGACGCCATTGCTGATACCGAACAGTTAATAAGTAAGTTAATCATCATGCTTTGCTTATTTTCCCCATATTTTAATTGCTGCATAATTTTTTATGACCTTAACACTTTTACTTCTTTCATTTTCCTAAGCTGTCATGGCAGGCGTGCTTCATGCTCTACCTAACAAAATTATCCCTATTGAAGGAGCCCCATGTGTAGTTCGAGACTATGTCATAGCTAATGAAGAGTAACACATTTCATTACTAATCTAATTTCTCCTTCCATTTTTCAAAATCGTGCGCATTTCCAGCAATTGATTCTATTACTATTCATTACCCAGCATGAAACCTTTGATACTAACTTTACGCGGTGAGCTTGAAGAAAATTATGGCCCTACTATTGCAGCAGCAGAAGACCCTTTTCCAGTTATCATTGCCATCAGAGTCAAAGCTACAACGAATCATTGTAATCACATGCTTCACCTCTATTATTTAAAGCATCTTCTAATTTTTTATGATTCCAAAAAATTATTTCCTCTATCAACTTTAAAATTTTTACCCTCTTCTTACCAATCGTATCAGATTTGAGTCTTTCAACTAAATCTTCCTCGCTGATTTTGATATCTCCGATCGCTCAACAAACGATGCATTTAAAAACGTGGTAAGAGTTTTAACCACCTTGTGCATTATTATCGCTCTTATTATATCACAACTTACCTTTTTCAGTTTTATCATAGGCATCATGCCCATGCCCATGCGCTGAGACGAATGATTGATGAGAGCAGTTACACTAACCCACGCATTCTTCTTCCTCCTGTAAACGATAATCGAATCACTCATATTGCTACTCTTCTTCAGCAAGTAAAATTCCTAATTCAAAATTTACATTTACATACAATATTCCTTACATTCACTTCTCTTTTGCCTTTTTTTTAACGCTAGCTATTCTTTTGTACCTTTTCTTTGTCAAAGAAACCAAAGACTGCCTGGATTCAAGGCATTGTGGAGCTAGATTACATACCTCAAAAGTTAGCTTATATAGCTTGTCCCCTTTGTTATTTTCCAAGCAAACTTGCAAGCAATTTGCCTGTTACATGTCAACATTGCCACTCTAACATGGATTTGGTTCCTAGGTAAACATAATTATTTACTCTTCTTGCTTCCTTTCATCGTCAACTTTAATCACTTTCAATTTCTAACTACAAAACTACCTACTTCTTCATTGCAGAGCTCTCATTGCAATTTCACTCATTGATGCAACTGGATCTATATGTGCTACTGCTATAGATATTGAAGCAGAGAGACTAATTCAGTATTCAACCGCCGAGCTATACTATTTACAACAAGAGGTAATCGCTACTACTTTTTTATACTAAATATTTTCTCTCTTCTTTTTTAAATCTGTTACAATTTTCTTCCATCTATTTTTACAACAGAATGTTGATCTTACTCAATACCTTGCGCATACTTTACAAGGGAAGCTGCTCATGTGCTACATTATGCCCTCTCCTTCCAAATTCAGACTCATCAGACGTGCAGCTTATGAAATAATCACATCCTACTCAGCCCATGAAGTTTTTAATGCTGAAAATATTAACATAAACAATCTTAACATCAATGCTTAACCTTTTACTTATTTTGCATACATTACTGTTGCCTTTAATGTCTTTTCTACTGTATGTGTTAAATCAAAATTCCCACAAACAATAACTATATTTACTATTTTATTGTCTTTAGCTTTATATTCCTCCTTCATTGCATACTTATTTATTTTAAAATAAATTTTCAGCTCTACATTTAATATCTACCATTATCCCAATATTAAAACAAACATAATTGCCCCAAACATTCAGATAAAAATATTTTCCAATTTCTGAAACAATTTTTTTGTGCAAACATTTTAGCTTAACTAACATATCAACATATAATCAATACAAATGAAAAATCAATATGTATATAAACATTTAAGTTTTTCTCAGACAAAATTCCTTCTAAGCATTTCATACTTATTATTCTACACATTTTTGGGCAATCCTTAAAAGTATACCGCGCATCGCGCGGTACCACCCACCTAGTTCAACGAAAATATGGCCAATGCAATTGTGTTCGAACGGGAGATATCTGGAATAACCACTGAGCTTGGCTAGTTGCCACCAAGAGGGATTTTTGTGAATGAGTATTTAAACCTCGTTAGCAACGAAAAAAATTTAAGGGTGGTGTTAATACATTTTTTTGATCTAAAACAGATTATATAATTATTATCATTTTCAAAAAAAAGGAGATTATTTGAAATAAATTTTTTCAAAAATATTTTTTTATTCCATTTTGGCCAATGACACTCTGTGGCACTTTTCTGATATGATATTTAGGAAATAAAAATATGATTAAAAATATATTTGTAACACAAACAGATAAATTTGTGTAATTATCCTGCTATCCAAACTAATTCATTGTGAGAGCCCTGAGTTAGACACGTATCCATATCAATATTAAAGGCTTGTCAATACATAAAAACTGAACCATCATGCTGTACTACAATACAACGTAAGAAGACAACATTAATTTCTTTTTCTTGGGGGTAGGTGAAAACATTAATTTCTCTCTTGCATGCTTTGCTAGATTTTAAATGACTCTTCCATATTGTTATACCACATATATATGGTATCGATAAGGGTATCTCCTGAGAGGACCATAGTGAAAGAACCATTTTCTTCGTTAAATATATCAACGTAAGAAAATAGTCGTGAAGTCTGTTAAAATTTCATTAAATTTTTTAGGGAGTTTGGAGAGTTTGATGTGATTAGTTTATCTTCTTAATTTTAATTTAGCCTGATTTAAAAAAAAATGTTATCCTGATTTTTTTTTCTTAACTAAGTACATTTTTGGAATTAATTTAGTAAGAACTTATGCATGAAATCCTTCTATATGGTGAATAAAGCTAATTTTCTTCCTTATATTCTTCTAATGTTAATTTAGAGTCAAAATCAAGTAAAATCTCAGTAGTGCCAAAAATGTTATTTGATTTTCTTTCGAAAAAAAAAAATCCAATATGAAGGGATACTTCTTGTTGTCTTGGAGAATGGGTCAAAGTGGCAAGGAGGAAATGAGAAAAATGTGACCTGCATTAGTTGGGGTTGATTTTTGAGTAATTAGTGCCCAGGTCAAGAGATTAGAATGTTGATCTCATGGAGATATATATGAACATTATCGATGACGGCTATCCTCTAATGGCTCCATAATGTTTCTCTGGTTAATACTGAACAAATGATGCACAAGCAGTTGGTGGATGGAGTAAAATGAAAGAATCGTTAAGTTCTTGAAACTTTTATCCAACATGGATTTCTTAAGTTGAGTTTTATCCAATTTTAATCATGAATTTTGCTCTAATTTATTTTTATGAGTAGACAAATTTCAATTATCAATTGGAATTATGTTAGTTTACAATATATGTTGTAAGAATTATATCAATTGGAGAAGCAGTGGATCCACTTTAAGCACTCGTCTCTATCTCTCTCTCTTTCTCCTTTCCTTGTATTTTTGGGAGAATTACGTACAATTTTTCGAGATGTAATTAATCATTCCGAGCGACGTATCATGAATTTGGTTATGTATAGCAAGTTGTTTCTTGTAAGAAAAGTACTCATTTATATCCTTCCATTTTATTGAACGTGATTCACTATCCCATGAATCACTGATAGAGTACATAGTTATATTCGGACCACCCTCGTGTAAGTGGAACCGAAATACAAGCTAAGAAGGGCATATTAATTAGTGCTGGTTGAGCATGATACTAGCAAGCCCCCATTGTTGCTTAGGCGGCCAAGTGCAATATTGGGAGGTTCCATCTTCAAAGTGAAGTGTGCAGCCCTCGTCGAAGCAACAATTGGTGCAGCCTCGGTACTTCTTCTCTCCATCACAGGTCACGTACGCGACCAATGTGCAAACCAGTGGACAAGGCCTGACAGGCCCGGGCCTGACAGCCATGACTTCCACGTTTGCTCCCAGAAGCATAACTCATTTTGGTATTCAGTACCAAAATCATTTCAAATCGTGTGAAAACCAAACAAATCTCGATGCTTGATTTTTTTATGTATTTAAATAGATGGGATGAATAGTTGTCTTTTTATATTTTAAAATTGCCCCAACAGGTTTAACTCATATACAAAAGAATAAAATTGTACGTACCACAAAAAAGAATAGCCAATGCACCAATCTTGTTGATTGCCATGATTCCTTGTCTTCCAGAAGTTTGCCGATGATTTTAAATCGCCTGGGCTTAAACCTAAAGTTCTTATATAGACCGAGAAGAGCAAAGAGTGAGAGTCGATCGTGCCACCAGGAACAATTATTGTACTTCCACAAGATGGTGGGACCAGTTCATCATAAATTATTGTGCTTTCAGATACATCCAAAATTATTGAATGTGTTTGGATAGGAAATTATTTGAAATAAATATTCAAAAAAATATATTGTAATATTTTTTTTTGATGCATTGCATGTAAAAAAAAAATTAGAAAGATAAAAAAATTAATTAAAAAATATATTTATGATGTAATGATATATTAATATATTTTTACAAATAAAATGATATCCAAACAACCCGATCTTCCCTAGAATTTTGGGACAGGTCCATCCTAAATTATTGTGCTTCAACCTGAATTTTGGGACCCGTCCTTTGTAAATTATTGGAAACCTGTCGGCCCAGTCTGCTTTTCATTTATGATACAACAAGAAAGTAGTAAATCTTTTTATATTCGTAGATAGAAGTCAATATTTGAGTTGTCTTAAAACAAAGTCACGAAATTTGTATCATAATGGTTTGAAATTAGATCGATGGCCTATTTTATAGCTGATTGAGTAGTTGTTATATTTTTTAAATTGTTTTTAGCGAGAGAGGAGTGAGATTTAAGAAACCGGAAGGAGAGAAATGAATTTGAATACAAAATCTCTAAATCTTGAAACTAAAAGTTTGACCACTAAATCGGGTCCTCTTCAACACTGATTAAGTAGCCATTAAACTAAAAGGATATGAACCTTTAATGTGTAGAGGTTTAAAATTAATTTTTATTTCTATAGAAACTCAAAAGATAATAAAAAATTTATTTATAAATAGAATTATGGTCCCAAGTCGGATCTTTATCCCAGCTAAGGCCTTCTGAAATTGATTCAGGGTCTTCTAACTTTAAATGGTCTTAACATACCTTATTTGAGATATTTTACCCTCATTTACTCTTACAATGAAGGTCATCATGTCTGTGCCCCGTTATCATTTTTAGTTATTTTTGTAAAATTTAAAGTTGGTTATCCTCTCTCTGCATACGGAGTTTTGCCAAAAGGAAAGAAAAAAGTTGACGGAGTTTAATGCTATTAACCCTGTGAACAATGATGAGAATACTTCTCAAATCACTTTAAAATTCTCCACACTTGAAATGGTTATGTTTGTCATCAAGACAAAATGACAGAACAAATAAAATGATCCAAGGCATTCAAACACAAATAAGGCTTCATGTGTCGGTCTCGAAGGAGGATTTGACCAAATGCATTGAACCAAAAAGAAAAGAAGTAAAAAATAATACATCCATGGGATGCTCAACATTCATAACAGTTCAAATGCCAAACCAGATTTTCCCAACTTTTCTTCCATAATCTTCTTGTAACGTTCTGCCATGGAATTATTGAGAAAATTTTTCCAATCTCCAACTTCTCCCTTTCTGAAATAGGAACCAGCTTTAAACTTAGCAGTTGGAGATTTAACAACAACACCATTCTTGTTCACCTCCATATTCTTGAGATTCTCTAAGCTACAAAGCTTAACTATTTCTTCGACTACACCATTTTCAACTTCCTCTGGAGAAAAAGGAAATCGCAAGAACTCTGCTAGCATCTTCACGTGAGAAGTTGCATCTATTTTGAGATCCTCGTACTTGAGAAACACCACCTTTTGAACATCATTTAGGCTTGCATTCCAGTACCCCTCAGCATGATCCCAAACGGGACCAAAAGGGTATAAACCTTTGCAAAATAATTCAAAAGCTTCATCAATAGGAAGTGCTTTTTGCTGATCTTCACCACTATTTTCAAGCAAAAAGTGCCGGAGAGAAATGAACTGATCCAAAGGGTTTCTGCATATATAAATTATGCGACATTTGGCATTCAAAATCGATTGAGGTAGGGCATGGTAGGGCAGATGTGTTGAGAAAATTCTTGGACATGAGAAGGCCTCAAGATCAGGATTTTCGCTATTCAGAAATAAACCATACTCCATGGATCTTACAAGATCATGAGGATTGGTGATGAGGAGAGGGCTCTCTGGTATTGTGCACTTCTTGCGGTTGATGATGGTAAAGCTTAGTGATTTTAGCCAAGTGGTGCCTGATTTAGGGATGGATGCTAAGATAATGTCGGAATCCTTAGCTTTGAAGTTTCTTTGAAAGAAAATTGTGGATTTAAGCACTCTTTCTGGACACCAAAAATTGTTGTAGTAGTATAGCCACCGGCCATCCCAGTTTACTTTAGGAATTGTTTGTAGCAATTCTTGAAATTCATCCATATCCTCTACAACTTTGGTTGAGGATGAAGGACGGAATATTGGCGTTTCTTCCATGGAAAAGTAAAGTGGATGGATATCAGCAAGGCAGGATTTGTTGAATCCAACAATATCACATATACAAAACTTGTCGATAATGGGATGTTGTGGTGTCGCCTCAACAATTCCTTATCCACAGAGAGTGGAGTTTAATCCCACATAATGTAATCCACTAGAATGGGTGAGTGGAATTCGCATGCCACGTAAGTATTTCATTATCTCCTTTTTTATTATATTTTTATTCACAATAGATTACACTCCATATAGAATAATAACATAGTTCACAAGCATATCAAATATGTATTTTAATAATTTAAAAATAAATTATTTAGTTTCATTAGAATTTTTTACTTTTTAAATTTTGTATTTGCTAAAAGATAGTATTATTAATTTGTGACTTTTAATAATATATATTTTTTGTCTCTGAAAAATAATACATTTGTGAGGACTCGCAAATTTCTTGTATTTTTCTCAAAAATACCCTTTTATTTGAAAATTATTATTTATCAAAGCCCACTACCCAATTGTTTCACAATAAGTGTAAGTAAACCTAGAAAATAGGGTTTTACGCTTCGGTTTCAAGTTTGGAGCAAAATTAGGGTTTTCGCGATTTTTCGCCGGATGAATTTTCGGTACAGAGTAAGGATTAAATTTGGGAATTAAAAGTGATTTTAAGTGAGAAATAATATGTGACTAGTAGCAATGATATAAAGATTGTGATTGGGAAGTAAAAATACTAGTACGTGAGTTTTAAGAAAAACGGCGCGAACCGGCTGGTCCCGCGCGCTACCGATTGAACGCACCACTTGACCACCATTTTTCTTACCATACAAGCTCATTACTAATTGAGCAAAATATCTTCCCCCTCATGATTATATCTTGATAGAAATTGTGGCTCAAAGGCAAGGAAAGAAAGAGAAAAATTTTGTGGTCAAGATTAGTCCAAGTGTTGGAAAAATTTGTGGTCACAATTAGCCTTAATCTTCTTACTCCCTTATAAGACAAATCAAGCTCCATCTTCCTCCATTTTTCTGCTAAGGAGCCGAGAGAGAGAGAGAGGAAAAACAAGAGAAAAACTTCTCCATTTCTTCTTCAATCCAACAACTAAGTGAGAAATCAAACAAAGTAAACCGATTAAAGTACTAAGTGTGAGTTGGGAAGCTTGAGGAACCAAGAAAAAATCAAAGGGGGTGAAGGATCACTCTACCAAGCCTTGCTTTTGAGGTACCAACATTTGATCATGATCTTTGTTGCTTTGAATCTTGCTTTAAGATGTGTTTTTAGCTTAAGTTTTGGCTTGATTTCATGATTATGCAAGTGGGTGTGATGAATTTGGAGGTTTTTCCCTTTTATAGGATGAACTAGGGCTTGAGGAATTCCTGCCCAATTTGTTGTATGATGCTTGTATGTTGCAATTAAGGTTGTATAAGGTGTTTTGGTAGTGATTAGAACAAGAAAATTGAGAAAGTTCCATTGGTTACAAAAAATTTCAGAATCTGGAAAATTTTTCCCAACTTTCTGTCCGAATTTGTATCTGTATGTTAGAGGCTGATTTGGCCTTAGGTCAAAGAAGGAAAGTTGTAGAGAATGGTATTTTATAGGTGCCTACAAAATTTCAGCTCAATCGGAGTAACGTAGGACGTGAAAAGTCCAAAATACCCTTACTGTTTTAAGTATTTCCCAAGCAGTTCGTGTGATCAGTTAAGTCCAGTTTATCACGTTTTTCGACTAGGATCCATTCTGATTTAGCTTTTTGGCAAAACATGAAAGTTGTAGTATTCTGAAATAGCTTTCAAATGCCTCTAAGAACACCTGATTTGGACTTGTGTACTCTGAGATATGTCCATTACAGTGTTCTGCGTTGAAACAGCCGACGAATTGGTTTCTGGTTTAGTAATTTGAGAATTTGACTAAGTTACATTAGGAACTGGACTAAGTGATCTTCATGAATGTTGTAGCTCTGTGTCTTAGCTTCGAAACGGCATAGTTTTCGTCTCAATTCGATAAGCGTAGCTTCAGATATGTTATTTCCGCATTCGTACGTCAAATCTGTCTTGTGCTAAGTTGAATTTCTGCACTTGTGATTGTTGTAATTCTTATTCTTATGATATTGTGAGCCTATGGAACGGCTCTTGACTTGAATTGCTTATGTGTGATGTTGGGTTGTGGTTGAGAAAAAATAATGAAGCCAAAATGGCTGGAAAATTAGGTAAACACAAAGGGCGTGCTGCCCAAATTTTCGCTCGAGGGCTAGGTTTCTATTTGAACTTGTATACTTTTGGTTGGCCAATACCATGACCGGTTTTCCATTTTAAAACATGATTTTTCATCCTGGGGTTCAAACAACCCTCTTCTTACTTGAAAGTCATCTTTACACGTTTTACTCCTAATTAGTCGGGTTTCTTTGTTTCCCTTAAATGTTTTGCTCGATAAACTGTAATATGTTCTCTTGTTCAACTTTAGGTTTCATTGGTGACTAAGGGTAATATCCGGAAGGATATTTTGCACGTTATTTTGCATATCTAGGTGAGTGTTCCTTATTTGACTTTATGGCTTGTTGTTATCATTTGCTAATGTGTTAATTGCTTTTAATGATTTCCAAAACGAGCTTTCTAGGCGAGTGTGTACTTTATCGCACTCGACCTAAATAACTGTGCAATTTTCAAGGATTTAATGATTGAAATGTTACTTGCGCATGAATGTAAGCCTTTTGGGCTGAACTGGCCATTGCCCCTTGTTACCGGTCGTCTCGAGCCAGAAGCGGACTCGGTCGGGCGATTAGGGACTTGGGTGAACGTTTGGTATACTCGAGTATTACCCTGTAGGTTGGTGGAGACTGGCCAACGGCCAGGACGGGGGTGAATGAATGAATGAACGAACGAACGAACGAGGGTTTATTGATAAACGAAAAATGCATTTTCAAATGATTGGAGGAATAAGGGGAAATGTCAGGAGAACGAATGAACGAATGAACGAATTGCTCCTTGTGAGCCGTATCCTTTTAATGAATGTTACTATTGCTTTCCATTGTAAATGTTTCTTGAATTATTGATACTCCATGTTTAATGTATTGAATTGATTGTTTGATTGTTTGATTATCTGTTTGGAACCTCACTGAGCTTTTAGCTCACCCCTTTAGTTTTGTTTTCCTTAACAGGGGACGGCGAGCAGGATGAGAGTATAGACTAGCCTAGTCTAGGTCTTTTGTTTCTTTTGTAATGGTTCTCGCCCTAGTGCTTGGCACGGGCTAGTTGTATGGTGAAGTGAGAACCTTTGTACATTTGATGGTTGTACTTTCTTTTGAGATAGCAATGTATATAAGTTCCACTTTAAGTTTGGATTGCTGCCCTATTTATTCTTGTGATTTGTTCTGGATTTGATTAAAGAACGACTGAGTCCCGGCGAGAGTTGGGCAGGCGGCCCGCCGAACCCTCTGGTACGCCTTAGGGGGAGGTGGGGTCGTTACAACATTGGTATTTTCTAAAAATTATACATTGGAATTGGAATTGGATAATTTGGGAAATTTGGGTAATTTTGAAAATTTTGGTGGTTTTGATTTTTGAAGAGGATGAATTTTCTATATTTGGAGCATTTAACATATTTCTGAAATTATTAAAATTCTCATCCATAATGACAAAATACTGAAATTTTAAAAAATTATGTAAAGAGGTTGAAGACAATGAATAAGGGAGTAGGAGATTGTGAGATGAAATAAAAAAAATGTCTTGTGTACTTATAGGGAGAAAACTAAAATGTCTGTTGTAAAATAGCCGGAAAATGACCGTTTTAATTTCAATGTCCGTTGTAGTTGCTCTTATGGTATACTTCGTTGTAATTTCATTCTTTACCGTCTTGGGATTGATAAACAAAAATATTACACTTAATGATTGGGCGCTTGCCAACAAATTTACCGCGAATCGCTGTTTGTCTCGTATGATTCGGAGCAGAATGGTCATCTTAGAAATGGAAGAAGCAAAAATTAGGAAGTGATGCTTCGCTGAACCTGAAAACTCTGGCAGTGGGCAATCTTAATTACCTATTGCTTGCTCATCCAATCTTGTCGGTTTGAAATAGATCTTAGTACTTCATTCGTGCCATCGAAAGTATTATACTTTTTTTTGTCCCAAAATATTTGTCATATTTAATATTTCTAACTATTTTATACTCTGAAATTTCGTAACGAATCTTCTGTCTTACACCGTATGCCATTCTCTGTCTCACTTTTTATTATATTGCTATTTCTCCTATATAAATATCATGTTTTAGTTCTTTTTTATTTTCTTAAGATCCAATAACTATTAGTTGAATAAAAAATAAATACAACAACTTCAAAAAAGCAATGTATATAGTAGAAAATTAAAAAATACAACAGAAAATTCATAAAAAATAAGATTTTTTATGAATTTTGATTTTTCGAGTTTGTTAAATTTTTTGTATTATTCAGTTAATAGTTATTGGATCTTAAAGAAACAAAAAAGAATTAAAACATGATATTTATGTAGGAGAAATAGTAATGTAATAAAAAATGGGACAGAGAATGACATAGGGCGTAGGGCAGAAGATCTGTTGGCCTGAAACTTCTCCTATGACTTTCATTAATAATGCATAAAAATAAATGTGATGGATTTGTTTTCTACTTTTTACTTTGACTAACACATGATTAAGGGCAAAAGTGGAACAAAAGAAAAAACTTCTTGGTGAAGTGTACTATGCATTAAAAGCAAATATTCCCAAACATGACTAAATATATGGAACGGAGGGAGTATAACACTAGCGTGGCTTGCGCTAGATATTAATTTCCGATAACCTATGAATTTTGTGATTTTTTCTTTTTTTGGTGTCAAAAGGTCATCATTTTTCATATAGGAGAACTAGATACACTTTAAACTGTCCTTTGCATATCACTGGCAAAGCCGAAAACATCATTGTGGGCTTCATTCCCATGCCACACGAGGACAAGCTCCCGCCGATTATCAGCTATTAGGTTAGTGGCAAATTTTGCCGAACCATGACGAGTGTGATTGTATTTCTTTCCGATAAATATGAAGGAGCATCGCCAAAAGGATTTACTCAAATGTATAACATCATCTATCATTACATCTAATTGAGAGAACCAGTCCCTTTGTTATTAATTCTATCCACTAAGACTTTACAGTCAGAGTGAATAAAGAGAGATGTCCAACGTTCCTCCAGAGCCTTTATCGTTGCTGTCCTGATTACCTCTGCTTCTAGTATGGCAGCATCTGTTCTCATTTTTGTTGGGATGGCCCAAGTAGAGACAAGGCTGCCATTATTGTCTTTGAAAGCAATGGCTAAGCCCCCTCTGTTCCTTTTCTCGTCCATTGTTGCATCAGTAAAGATAAGTGTTCTGGAATTCTTTAATGGTGGCCTTCCAGTGTGTTTTTGATTCGGGCTGTTCCCTTTCCATCATTCCATTGTTCATCAGATTCTTATACTCGAGCCATTCCTCCACAGCCTTATTAGAAATATGCTTGCCAGTGAACCTGTCATTGCTGAAGTTCCAAGCATTCCTTGCCTTCCACATTTGCCATTGGAGGGTTACCGTGGCTTCTGTGTGAGTTTTATTAATGGCTGTATTCAGTAATCTTGGGCCTCACTTCCACGCGAATAACTCAAAAGGTAAATGACTAAAAATTCTTTTAGCGCCAAAGAAGAAAAAGGAAAATTTCAAGTTATTAGTGTTATCAGTATATTTTTAGGAGTGCTATACTCTCTAAAGTGACCTGCAAATTATAGAGCATGTTGTGTGGCCTTGTTGATAGCTGTAAAGCTACCGTAGAACATAATATGAGACAACAATAACTATATCTTGGAATTAACCACGAACGGCTCATGATACTCCATTAATTCCAGGAAAGGTTTACTCCAAAACAGAGTACCATAAAAAAATTACAAGAATATATTAATGATTATTATTGTAGAATAATAGGCAATCGTTTGGGCCAAAAGTATTAGAAGGAAACAGCGATTCAATATAGAAGAAAGTACCTATTACGTAGTTGCAGCTGAGAACTAAACAAGAATTGGGCTTTGGTTTTGTCAGGAAATGGATATCAACTAATGGTCGCTGGTAAGCATTTCTGATTTGAAGTAGAAAACTTATCTTGGTAGTTTTAGGTAAGAATTGGCCTTTTAAGCTTTGACAATTGGGTTAAGATGCTCCTTAGCTTTTCCATTGTGTCAAAGGCTCTTTCTTTATGTTCTTTTTCTGATTTCTGGTAAAATTATAAACAAATGCATAAAAAATACATTTTGAGTAAATTTATAAAATGCGAGAGAGTTGGGTTGGGTTGGGTGATTAGGTGGAAGGGATTATAAGTAAGAGAGTAAGAGATTTTGGGTCAAGTCCTCTCACTTAGAAAAAAAAAGTATTTTTATAAACGAATGCACAACAAATACTCTAATCTTGCCAAATGCTCCATTTTATTGCAATCGTAAAATGGTATAAGAACTATCGTTGTCTAATTTATATCAGTACAATCAGTTCCAAACAACTTTGCTGGGAAAAGTGTGAAGGTGTCTAGTGCAGATATTAGAAAGGAGAAGCGGCATGAAGTAGATAAAGGCAATAAAAACTTGGATAGTAATTTTGTCTCGTTGGAGGCTTCAACCCTGTCAGGTTTTAGTACGCTGAACTGTCACCATCCCTCTTTCAAGATCGCGTATGAAAAGATCCTTTGCTTTCAATTTCATCCTTGGAGATGATAAAGGAGCAAGTTCCTGTAAAATCTCAAAACCGTTGCTCGCTTGGACGAGCATACCCTATCCAAATAAATTCGCAGCAAAACTTGGTTCGGAAGCAAATTTTAACCTAATTAACAAATACATCATTTGAATATTATGTAAATCAGTTACTTTTGGCCAAAAAGTTATGATCAGAATCATATACTTAGAAATAAATAATAAGAATAATATTTGTCACATGGGACACATTAAAGCAAAACAAAATTTAGAAACTTCAAATTGCAGAACCCTAGTTTCTTTTTTATTTTTTAACAACGTAAGAGTGCAATCTAAGAAAGGGGAGATGGGGAAGGGGGATTAGAACTAAGGACCATTAGGTCCTGAGGTCTCAACCTTAACCATGCTCTGAGACCTCAATCTTAATCACTAAACCAAGATCTACTCGAGTATTGAGGAGAATTTATAAAACTAGTTTTAAATATAAGTCTATAATAATACATTCCAAAAAACACTCAAAATATGCTTGACAAAAATACCAAGAAATAAGTATAGGGAAAAAAAAACATCACCACCCTTTTCTTTCTCTACCACCACCATCTTACCCATGCTGCCACCTTTCACCCATTTCCTTCTCTTCCGTCCTCTTTCCTCATTTTCCTTCCCTCATCCTCTTCCACACTTCTCTCCTCCGTCCTTCTCCCACCACCTCTAGTTTCCCCGTTCTGCCTTTCCTACCACCTCACATATTCCCGTCGCTTCGTCATTTTTGCTTCCTCTCCTTTCCCCTCATTGCTCTCAGCTTTCTCTTGCCATCCCTTTTTTCCTCTCCTCCTTTCTTTTCTCCCCTCAAATTGCATGATTGTACAGCTAAATAATAAAGAATCACGATGGCTCATTTATGATCATGAATATACTCAGTGGAGTAGTGCTGATCATGATTTTATGGATTGTAATTTCACAGCATGCCCTTGAGGTTTCGTGGGCTCACTTGGTTGCCCCTCTTGTAAGATTAATTATTAGATTGTGTACACAGAAACCGATAATACCATTACTTGCTATTGAAAAATGAATGGATGATACTAGATGATATGATACAATTATAATATACCATGAACTATGATTTTTATGATTCTTCAACATTATGTGACACCTACAAAATGTTGCTTTTATATTAAAAGCATTTGATAATGATAGTATATGTGAATGTGTGTATAAAATGATTAATGAAAAGTACTATACGTAATTCATGTGGTTCGACAAAGGAAACTTGAGCTTGCTGAGTGAGTTCTCACTCACTTTATGATATTTAACATTTTTCCAGATTTAAAGAAATAGTACGAGTTAGTTATAAAAGTGACAACAAAAGTTGAGGACAAGATATATAACAAGGACGTTTTGGATAGTCCAAAGGTAAGGATGATCTTCATTGTACTATTTGATTTTATTACTTATGTTGTAATTAATGGCAACTAAGGCCACCATATTAAGGATATTTAGTGTTATTTCTGCACAAGAGTTCTATGTATAGTTTTTAAAGTTTTAAATTTTGTTGGTATATTTCATAAACGTTTATTAGTTAAAGCAAAACGCTCAATGAATTTGAGAAATTATTCTTGAAGTCATGGCATGCTATGTTAACTAGCATAATGGGCTAGGGTGTGACAATTTTTTTTTTTTTTTGGATAGAAATCATCATTTTATTCATAAGATCTACACTAATGAAGGATTTTGGCCTATGAATATTTGAGAAATTTAGACTTACACATGGTTTTTACTTGAATATAACTTAATCTATAAAATTTAAGCTTTGTTTTCTGAAAGTGAGTTTTTGTATAAACTTGGGTTTAGTCATTTTAAGTGGTCTTTCTCAATATAAATCCGAAATTAAATTTTCATGTTAGGCTTGACAAAATAAATCCACAATCAACATGGTGTATACATTATCACGATTAGATATATGACACATATACAAAATTTGAGTTTCAAATTCAAATTCGGATTATGTGTCATGCATCTAATGGTAAAAGTGTATACACTGTCAGTGTATAGAAGATTAATCCATATGAAATGAGTAAATCTTATATACACTGACGGTGTATACACTATCATGGTTGGATATACGACACATATACAAAATTTGAGTTTCAAATTCAAATTCGAATTATGTGTCATGCATCATTCTTTGTACAAGAAATACCGATTCCATTATAAAACACAAACGTGGCGTTTTAAAGTTAGCATTAAAGTTGAAAATTTATTATTGGGCCCTTTTTGACACATTAGTTAAACATTGGGTCCAAAGACAAGGTATACAAAAAGACCATTTAGCAATGAGCTTTTGAAGTAAAATTAAAACACTTGGTCCAATCTAACGAAAGCAACCCAACTAAACATTTAAATCATAATTTGAGACAAGCAACCATAATAGTAGTGTGCAAATATACTACATAATCCCACATAAAAACTGGAATATATCAAGAGGCAAAAGAAACTAGATGTTGAAAGCAATCAATAATTATAAGAAAAATGCCTCTTAAGTTGTAATCTTCTCATATGTATGACTGAGAACATCTGAATCATGTGTAATCTTCAATGAGTAAAACCATGCTAGTAAGGATTCTAATAAGAATTTGAAAATTCAATAGTCATATAAGGTGATGAATATTACTAACAAAATGATAGTATACTAAATTGCATATAAGACGACATATATCTTGCATAAATCCAATTTAATAAAGCATCCGTGCTTACAACAATTTTTTACATGGATCTTAATATTGTATTAAGACATATATATATTGTGAGAGTTGCTACCAAGCCAAAGAATTAATGTACAGTGTGGTTCATGATAATATAAAGGCACAAAAGCATTAGTCTTGAACCAAGCAAGGTTCAAGTGGTGTTCAAATTATCATAAAACATGTGCACAGGAATAATCATAGGTTCTCAATTATTGAGACAATGAAGCTACATACCCCGTGACAAACTAGATTCAATTCGTCTGAATTTTATATAAATCTTTGCAACTTTTATCAGATACCCAATAAACCATAAAGTTATGACCAATTGCATAGTTAGGGAATGGCTCTGATGCGACATGTTAAGCAAAATGTACAGAAAAATACACTCAAGTAATGGAATATTAAAAGAATTGCCTTTAACTATTGTCGTCAAGCAAATTTTGAATCATGTACAATTGCTCTCTACGCTGCAACCATATAAGAAATATTAACTTTGTGTAAAGAAACTCATATCCTATGCGTAAACAAAAAAAAATACAACACCATAGAATAGATGGAGTATCATAGACTACTTATAGGTTAGATGAGGATCTTTTACTAGCAAATTTCAAATCCCTAAAATTTCGTCCAATCAAGAAAAATATTGCCATAAATCATAACAAAGAATAATATATCTGACTAATTAATTGATTTGATTAATTATTTAACTGATTGAAATATCAATTAACGGAAGATACGAATCAAACATCAATAATAGGAGATAATCAATCATTGATAAAATGTCAAATAATTAATTAGGATATCAATCATCATAGATTCAATCATATGGGTTACGATCACCTATAAAAGAGGCAATTTTTACAAGAAGGACATTTTGCCGCAATCTGCACATTGATA